GGAGTGGACTCTCTATATTGACTCCCTGCCTTCTTCAAATGTGAGAATCCAGCATTTCCCTTATCTTCAGAGGGTACAACATGCAAGGCAGCATCTTAGAAGCAGGGAAATTAGGCTATGACCTGCTGATCCCTTGACCTTGAACTTCCCAGCCTCCAGTATCGTGAGCTAATAAATTTCTATATCTTATAAATTACACAATTTCAGGCATGCCATTATAGCAGCACAAATAAATTGGTACCAGAGAAGTGGAGTGTTGCTATAACACAACCTCAACATGGGAAAGTGGCTTTAGAACTGGATAGTGCCATAGACGCTGAAACAGTTGTGAAGTTAATGCTTGAAAAAGTCTGGTGAGGGTTCAGAAGAAGAGGAATGCTGTAGGGAAAGTCTGAAACTACATAGAGATTACTTAAGTGGTTGAAAACAATGTTGGTAGGAATAGGACGGTAAAGGCAAATGGAGGTTCTGGATGCAAATTAATAAAAGTCATCCTTGTTATAAAGTAACAAACAACTTGACTGAATTGTGTCCATGACTTAGGGCTTTATGGAAGGCAAAATTTAAGACTGGTAAACTAGAGTATCTGTCAGAAGAAATATCTAAGTAACAAAGCATTCAGGGTGCTGTGTGGCTTCTTTCAATTGCATATAGTAAGATGTAAACAAATAGAAATGATTTAAAGACAGCTTATAATTAAAGGGAAGCAGAACATAAAGATCTGGAAAACAGTCAGCCAGGTCATGTAAGGAATAAAAATTTTGTTCTGGAGGGAATTCCAAGAATGTGGCCAAGCAACTGTTTGATAAAGAGATTACTATGGTTAGAAGGAAACCAGATACTATGCATCAAGACAATAAGAAAAAAGATACCCCAATGCATTTTGGACATGTCTGAGGCTGCCCTTCCAATTACAGGCTCTGAGCCCTATTGCCTTGAGGGCAGAATTGTTTTGGGGAGTGGGCCTACGGCATGCATGGGACCTCAGTGTTGTTGTCCAGTGTAACCTAGGGTTTTTGCTCCCTACATTCTGGTAGTGCTCCTCAGTCGTCATAGCTGTGGTTAGAGTAGCCCCAAGGGAGGCTTGACCCACTGCTCCAGATGGTGCAAGTAGTGAGCTTTTGTGGCATTCAGTTGGTGCTAATTTTGCAGGCACACACAATGAAGGAGCTATGGAGACATGGCTTCCTCCTCATAGGTTTCAAAGGGTGTCATAAAGAAACTTGGGGCAAAACCAGACTTTTTTCAGGGGAGAAACACTGAAGAGTCTCTATTAGGATAATGTCTGAGGGAGCAATGGGATCAGGGCCACCTCAAGACTCCAGAGCTGTAGAGGTACCAGCATGCCATGCCATCCTGGAGAAGATGAAGACACCTGACTCCAAACCATGAGAGCTGATTTTTGGGCTAAGGCCAGCAAAGCCATAGAGGTTGGATCACCTGAAGACTTGGGGAGTCCAGCTCACACCCCAGTGTGTTGGGAAGATGGCATATGAAGTCAAAGTTTATTCTAGGCCTTATCATTTAATGTGCTGGCCCTGTTGTGTTTTAGGCTTACTTGGTACCTGTTACCATTTTCTTCCTGAATATTTATTTATTTGGGAATGGGATGTCTATTTTACTCTTATCCCACCATTGCCTTCTGGAAATATGTAATTTGTTTAATTTCACTGGCTCATAACTGGAGAGGATTTGCCTCAGAGTGAATTATACTTTGAGTCTCACTCAAATCTAATTTAGACAGGACTCTGGATTTTGGACTTATGAATTAATGCTGGAACAATTTAAGACTTTAGAGGCTACTGGGATGGATTAAATGTATTTTGTATGTAAGAAAGATGTAAGTTCTGGGTGGTCAGGCCAAATTACTGTAGTTTGAATGTCTCCTCCAATGTTCATGTTGAGATTTAATTGCCATTGCAACTATATTAAGATGTGGGGTTTTAAAGATGTGATTAGGCGACAAGCACTCCACCCTCATGAGTGGATTTAGCACCTTAATAAAAGGGCTTTTTGGGGTTGTTTTTATCTCTTGGCCCTCTGCCTTCCTGCCATGTGGGAATCTAGCATTCCCCTTCTCTCCGGAGGATGCAACATGCAAGGCACCATCTTGGAATCAGAGAAACTGGGCCCTAACCTTTGGACACCTTGACCTTGGACTTTCCAGCCTCCGGAACGTTAGTTAATAAATTTCTGTTCCTTTTAAATTATCAATAAGACGCTTAATTTGTGGTGGCAGTATATTAGTAAGGTTGAAGCAACTGGCATTTATGTCCCAGTTCAGTCATATGCTAATTGTGTGATTTTTTTGCATGCATACATGTCTACACCTTAGCTATGTCACTTGTAACATGTAAATTCAGAATGAGGTTTCTGTAAAAAGTGAAGAAAATAATGCATATACAATGTTTAATGGTAATTGGCAGATGTTAATTTACTAATACATAAAACAAAAATCTGAATTTCAACACATTTTTTACATTGCATGCAGCTTTTCAGCAGCAGAGGCCATGCTGAACCTGCAAATGCAAGAGAGTTGAGAGGATCAGAGTATACATAAATTTTTCTTAAATGAGTAATTTTAAAGAAGAGAAAATGTCCAATTCACTGAGCATGCTAGTCACATAAATGCATTGGGAGTAGAAATAGGAATTGAGACCTCTCTATAGAAAGTCCACAAAACTATAGATAAAGTTTGCTTTTTTCTAGATTTGTTCGTTTTATTTTCACTTTTTGATTCCTCTTCCCTTGTATGCTCCTTTATTAGATCATGGAATCATTATATTAGCACAGGAAGAGATGAAGAAGAGAGAACTACTGTGGTTCTTTACTGCCTAATTTTTGTCCCAACAATATTAAGCCCTAATTTAAAACAACAACAATAACAGAAAACAAAACCCTTGACATAAATGAAATGTCTAAATAGCGGCCATCACGCCATACACATTTCAAAAGGAAGTGTCATGAAGTATTCATTGATCAATATTTACATGGAAGTTCATATTTGTTTTTAGAATCATGCAGAAAAAGGACATGTTAATATTAAAAGAAGACAACTAACAGAAAAGAGTATGTTTTTAATTATATTTATTTACATTAAAAACATTACTTAGAGCAAAATTCTTGGACATAAAGAATTAGACTGCCTGAGCAAAAGGGAGCCTAGAGTTACAAATTATCCTGCATATTGAGAGTATTCTAATGACTATAAACCAGAAAATCCTCTTAGACACCCCTCCTTCTCCCCTATTTACATTACTCTTCAAATTTAATCTTAAAAATAATACTGATTAGAAAGTGTAGAACCATTTATGGAGCAAAAATAAAATGTGGATGAAATCTTTGTTTTATATTGCAGTGGAAATGTTCAGGTAATGAACAGATATTTATCAAAATCATCTGTTGATTGCTCAGCCTGGCTTAAGAATACTAAAGAGTTTTTCTTTTGTACACAAATAAGTATTTACACAGCTCAGTATTTATTAAAGATGGTTTATATTTTAATAGATGTTGGTGTGGCAATAGTGTTTGGGGCTATTCTGACAAATGTCCTTTAATGTGAGTATAAATATAAGCATAGGTATAAACAAGTAAGTAGATAGATAATTCCTTTTCCTCCTTCTTCTCTTTTTCTATCTTTCTCTCTTTCCCTCTCCACACTCTTAGTGAGATGGGGTACAATTTGGGATTCTGAGAATTCTTTAAGGAGCAAAAATATGACAGCCAAATCATCCCTGACAGATCAGATCATCCCAGGTCAAAGTTACTCAGGTCAAAGCAGATTAGCTCAGCATAATAGACTCAGGTTTTCGTTTGTGACATAAGAACACTGCATGATTTGAACAGACAACTACCCTTATACAGGTAGAGGGGTTATGATCACGAGTGATAAAAATGTGGCAGAGAAAACAGTATCTCATTTTTGCTTACAGTTATTAAAGAAAGTCAGTAATTAAGATAGCAGTTCAACTTTTTTTTTCCAGGGTGTTCTGAATAGTTACCTGTTTAGCATTGCAGTAAGCTTACAAACAGATACATATACATTAATTAAATGTATTTAAATTTTATTTTAAAACATTAAAAATGATTCAAATATATGGAAAGACATATTATACCTATAGGAATAAAAATCAAAATCATAAACTATAAATTCTCCACAAATGGATCAATAGATTCAATGAACTGTTTATAATATAAAATTTTAATATAATATAAAGTAAGGAAAGAAACCCATATATCTACCTAGAGAGGAATAGGTTAATTATTTGTGGTATATTTGTAAAATGGAATATTATTGAGCTATGGCAATGAATGAACTTTTCACCAACATCAAATGGAAGATGTACAGTAGCAACTCTTATTAAAGATATTATATTTTATTGTGTTTACTGAGGATAACATTTATTGATTTTGATTGCTGCAGGGATATTTACCTGAGTAGATCATTGTTAAAACTTAAATATTTGGCAGGGTACGGTGGCTTACACCTGTAATCCTAGCACTTTGGGAGGCCAAGGCAGGCGGATCGCCTGAGGTTGAGAGTTTGAGACAAACCTGACCAACATGGAGAAAACCCACCTCTACTAAAAAAATTGGCCAGATGTGGTGGTGCATGCCTATAATCCCAGCTGCTTGGGAGGCTGAGGCAGGAGAATCGCTTGAACCTGGGAGGTAGAGCTTAAGGTTATGGTGAGCCAAGATCATGCCATTGCACTCCAGCATGGGCAAGAGAGCAAGACTCTGTCTCAAAACAACAAATGAACAAACAAAAACTTAAATATTTTTTCATTGCTATTTTAGAATACACTGTACCCCATTAATTAAAAAAGATACTGTAGCAACAATTAGCTATGTTGAAAATGGGTGCTTTTCAACTCTGAAAAGGAAGAAAAATAGATAAAAATTTTCATGATAATTTTTATTTATACATAAATAATTCTATTTTTATTGCTCAATGTTATTGATTACTCAGGCATAAAAACATGATAATAACAAATGTAGAACACTTTGGGAATATATATTTGGCCTGAACACAAGTATAATATCATTTTAATTTTTAACAATTTTTTAATACATAAAAAAGTGGCATGGTAAACCAATGTCCAAATGCAGAAATAGCAGTAGAAACTTAAATAATTCTTAAGAGTAGAAAGTTGATAATAGTTATCTTCAATCTTCATTTGCATATATAAGTAGCAATATTTCTTTTACTGTAGTTCTTGTTTGTATTTTTTTGATATTTTATTGAGCTCTCCTTTCTCAAATGCTCTCCATGAAAATTTTGGCCCTTAATGAAGTGACCTTCATATTTGGGTGCCAAAGAACCAGACAATTTCAAATATTCCTGATAAAGAGGAATAAAGAAACATTTTTATTCGGTAAACATACTCATACTCACTTACATTCAACAAATTATAAAATTAAAACATGCACTCTCTAATGCATTCTAAAATTTCCCATTCTAAGCTACTTTATTATTATTACTATCACAAACTCTTAACGTGTTACAATTTATAGGCAGCTTGAAAAACAGAACCGAGGATTTGAGTTTGAGAATCCATTGCTAGTGCAGACTCATGGCAATACAAGCACCAACAGGCTTTAAAATATTTATTCAGATTTATTTGTACTTCACTTTGATCCCACCCTCTTACCTGTGTACAGATTTCTAACATTGTCTCCTTTAATGTAGAATAGTCTGATCTGCTATTGTTTACTGTTGTAAATCTAAACACTCCATTCCATTTTCACAAGCAGCAAGTGAGATTTGTAGAAAATAGAAACCAAAATATGCATCCTACTCTAAAAATAGATGATAATGTGGTTTCTTTCTGGCTTATTTTTTGCTACTACCCACATTCATCCTCTCCTCCTGACACACGATCTATTTATAGTTGTTAGATGAATATTTTTAATTATTTACTGTAAGTGTGGGTTAGGATTCAATCATAGAACCAGAACAACTGTGAGTGATACAAAATGAAACACATTATAAGTATTTACGCCTTACAAAATTCTGGGGAAAGTGGGTGAAGTAAAGTTCTAGGAGATGGTTGAAGCAGAAGAGAAAAGTTACTTACCAACCAGGCCATTAAGGAAAACTGGTGAAGAAATCTACGCAAGGAGTTGCCTCTACCTGGTGGTGAACTAGAAATTGCTCAGATCAGTAGATAAGCAGTCAGGAAGAAAAGGTCTAAATGAACTAGAAAAAAAAAAAAAGGACAACCTAAAATCCTTGAGAATAAACTGATATTCACAAGGACAAATCAGAATATGCTTTGAACACAAATGATACTGGGAATCTGCAGAAGAAGCAGGAGTCGTTCACCCTAGAGTTGCACATGTGTGTGACTCAAGACTTGGAAACGCTGAAGGAAAAGATCTGGCAGCAGGCAGAGGAGCTGTGGGTTTATGCGCACCAGTGAGAGAAGCCCGTGAATCAGCAGCAAATGTGCCAAGCGCTGGCCATGCATGGAGGCTTGTACTAATCTTCCGTAATGACTGCTGCTCCCCTTGTACCTTCCAAATCTCACTTGAAGCTCTTTGTGCCAAATCCTAATTATACAGGGAAGGTAGCTCTATAAAATTCCCGGTCTGCTTTGCTAAAATCTCATAGTAAAAAACTATCACATTCTACTTATGTGTATTCCCTCCTCTGCCCAGAGAGTTCCTTCACCTCAGTGTTATCACCCAATCTTGATATTATCCCCTCTCCCATAGATAATTCTCTTTTAAATACACAATTTTAAAAAAAAATCTCTCTTCTCATACTTTCTAATGATACTATTACATTATAATAATATATTATGATTAATAATTATTGTAACATATCAGATAATATAAATATTGCATTTCCTTCTTTTCATATTTATAAATTTTCTAATTTTACTAACTTAAATTTCACTCCTTTAAATTTAGTGTTTAATTGTTTAATATTATTAAAAATTATTTGTTGAAGAAATAAATGAATACTATTTATCACATCCTACCCTTTTAATCTAATTATCTGCCGTCCCAACTATATTATATGCTTCTTGAGAGCAGGACTGAGTGGTCTTTTGGTGTCTCTGTGGTTTCAGCACTTACCAAATGCCAGAGACATTTTATATGTTCAGTCAATTTGGTTCAAAAACTGATTTTATATACATCACTATTTTCCTTTCTAAGTCAAAAAGGAATCTTTCCTGACAGTTTGTGTATTCATCACAAGCTCAACTAATTGGACGCATAGTCAGAGGGCACCTAATAAGTACTGATTATAATAAGAGCTGAAAAGTGCTACATTTAAATTGAAGTATGTTTTTTACATATACCTGTATGTATTCCTGACAATTCAGGATGTCTGATGTGTTCATGAATAGATAGATATTTCATGAATGGGACAAGGAATTTTAATGCAGTCATGCTTTTACTTGTCAGAAAGCCAAGTCAATGATCATCTTTACAATTTCCTCAGTAAATGACTCCAACTCGTGCATACAGGCAGTTACAGTTGCTGTCACAAAATATGATCAATCATTCAATAATTAATTTCAGTTAAATCTTCACAGATAAGTTACATCACTTTTGCCATTTGGATATCTGCTTTGTCTCATAATTTTTATGACTTCCCTTATCTTTTTGTGAGGCTTATAAGCTCTCTGCCTACGAATTTGACTGAGTAAAACACACCATTTGAGATATACATGTTCACATCTTAGAGAAAAAAATAATTAAACTACTCACCAGTTGAATGTAATTTAGCACCATGCCAGTTTACTAGGCAACACATTTATTCAGCCTAATGCACTGTGTTCTGTTTTCTAACAACAGAAGCAAGCTGATTTTCACAGTCAATAACAATTTACAGATAAAAATCAATCTGTTTTACTTGACTGGATAGCAAAACACCTTAGAAATATTTATGTTTTTAACTGTTTATTTTTTCCTGATGCAAACGCTTTCAGAAATTTCAATTTGATTCGTTTTGTAAAACATTTTAGAACTGTCCTCCCTCTCTTATTCTCTTTTCTTGGAAATTCTTTGCCCATCTTTATACTTCTAATGCCCCCTTATTATTTTATTTTTTTTCTGCTTACACGTCTTCAGTCAAAAATCTTATTTAGGGCTGGGCATGGTGGCTCATGCTGGAATCCCTGGACTTTGGGAGGCTGAGGCAGGTGAATCACCTGAGGTCAGGAGCTGGAGATCAGCCTGGGAAACATGGTGAAATCCTGTCTCTACTAAAAATACAAAAAATAGCTGGGTGTATTGGCACACTCCTGTAATCCCAGCTACTCCAAAGGCTGAGGCAGAATAATTGCTTGAAACTGGGATCTGAGATTGTGCCACTCCTGCCTGGGCGACAGAACAAGACTCAATCTCAAAAAATTAATAAATAAATAATAAATAAATCTTAGAACCTTTTACAACTTCCACTTCTGACTATTACAGATTATATTTTACCAGACCAATCTCTCTGTGAAAGCAACAACTGAAGATAATATATGAATTACAAAAACAAAAACAACAAAACTGCTCCTTAAAGCCATCAGAGAATATTCCAGAAAATCAAAATGTGAGTGACCAAACTCCAGAACAAAAATGGCTTGATTCACTGGATAAGATGTTGGCTGACTCTTTAGTGATGCAGAATCCATTTGAGCAGAAAGTAGGGGCTCAGCGTGTTTTCAGCCTCCCAAAACTAAGAGACAAAAATTGAAGTTCAAAGCTACCAAGGCAGCCAGGAATTGGGAAACTCAAATTCTGGAGAATAGGAAACCACATGCATTTTGCTCTATTTTTCTCTTCATAGTACTTGCGGATTTTGAAGAGGAATAGAAAAAGAGGACAAGAAGCCAAATATAAACAGAAAATGGAGAGGCCAAAGCTAAGGAGAGCTTTTGGTAGCCTTGCAGTATTGAGGAAACAGTTGTGAGTTCAGAGCCAATCAAGGAGAAAGGTCTCCAGTAGATACTCAGGCTTTTAATTACAACCTCTGAAAGGAGATACTCAAGGAGGAAGAGGAAACTGGAAATTGAGTGGTGCTCAATAATTTAAAACCCTTCTTCCAATCATTTACTCCAGATTGGTACAAAGTATTCTGTTCCTACTTGGTTGACTTTCCAAAATAAATAAATGAAAATCTTTCCCTGGGGAATATCACATCATCTTGCGTTTCTACAACACTTTTTTATTCAGTGATCTAAAATGGCCAGCATGTCTAGAGATAGAATCAGAAAGAAAAAAAAGTTTAAAGATAATAACAGTAATAACAGATAAATCAAAAATGGGAGTTTTTAGAAAAGAACATTAAAATAATTCTGATTTATGTGTTCAAGTAAATAAAGACAATATTGTAAATTTCACCAGTGCCACAGAAAGGTTATTTTCTACTTATTTTGTTGCTGTTTTTTGTGTGTGTGTGCACAAAAAGTCTTGCTCTGTCACCCAGGCTGGTGTGCAGTGGTGCTATTTCAGCTCACTGCAACCTCTGCCTCCTGGGTTCAGGCAACTCTCCTGCCTCAGCCTCCCGAGTAGAGTAGCTGAGGTTACAGGCACCTACCACCACACTGGCTAATTGTTGTATTTTCAGTAGAGGCGGGGTTTCATCATGTTAGCCAGGCTGGTCTCGAATTCCTGACCTCAAGTGATCTACCCTCCTCGGCTTCCCAAAGTGCTGGGATTATAGGTGTGAATCACAACACCTGGCCAAATGACAACTTAGAGGAGAACTAAAAAGTGAAAGGTTTAACATGAAGAACTCAATAAATGAGTTTAACTCTTTTTTAAACAGAACATGAAATTATTAAACTGAAAGATAGAAGCATAGACTGATGCATAAAAATAGCACGAGAAAAAAAAAAGGAAATGAGTGTAATAGCTATATACAACTTAATGAGAAATCTAACATTTTGTTCTGAAGTCCAAGAAGAAGCAAAGAATAAGAAAAGGGTAGAAGCAAAATTTTAAGGGATAATGGCTTTGAATTTTTCAAAACTGATGTAAGACATGAGTAAAAGATTCAAGAAGCTCTAAATACAGGCTTGTTTTAGAACTCTTGCATGTGGTGCATGTACTCTTTGCAGAAAATGTGTGTGAGGTTTTATATAATCATTTATACAACTCCTTTTTAGAAAATGTCCCTGAATCCTCTTTCCAATCATATTTATTGCATCAATGTATAGACACTATGCAGTTATTAACATTGGAATCACAGTAACACTCTGACCAACAATACATTTAGCTGCTTCTTATTGTGAACAAGAATAAATGTTCTGATATTAGGCATAAAAATCTCCTTTATATAGCTAATTGTATAATAGCCCACTGCAGCACAGAGGAAAGAGGAAAATTGATTCCTAACCTATGATAGTAATTAGCTTTTATGCTTGAGAATAAGGATTTATAGTATCTCTTAACAGCTGTCTGAAGCCAGTAGGAAAGACTCATTAGATGATCTACTGTACTGGAGATTTACCTGGGCCAATCAGAAACCAGAGTCTGTTCATACGTGCATGTGTGACATGTATTATTTTTGTACATATCTCCTTGTCCTACATAAATGCACAACTTTATTAACTATTTGTATGCTTAAAAATAAAGAGAAAACAATATATTCCAGTAGAATATTTTGATGATTTCCTTTACATAAAAACATATTTAAACATATTTTATATTTAAACATGTTTTGTAATAGTAGAGTAACCTCATGTAATGCATTGTTTCATAATAATTCTCTGATTGTCAGATACATGTTTTTTCCAACACTAGGATTATAAGTTACTTGAAGACTCTCTTTAAACTTCCCAGAGTTGTCAATGCTTTTTCCCCTTGCCTTAGAAACTCAATATATGTCTCTTTTTCATATGTACAGTTCACAAAATCTTATCTGGAGGTCAAATCTGAAAGTATAAATTCAATCACCTGATTTGGGCAGAGTTTTGGCTTTGTTCCATTTGCCTTCTCGGGATCAATAGGTGCTAATAAGCAAATGCATTTCCTTGATAGTGTTGAAGAAAATAAACAGGTCTGCTCTTGGGCACCCTTTGTAACTCAGAGCAGTGCACGCTTAGCCAAGTCCTCCAAGTTTTGGGCTCCAGTCCTTGGTAGTCTCTTGCTGAGTCACAGGTCTGAAATGTGTTCCCTGCAGGACTTCCTTGGCAGCAGCTGTGTTCAGGTAGAAATCTCCATCTGTGGCTCAGAAAAGCTACTAATCCCCACCAACAAAAGGTGTGAGATCAAGTGTAATTAAAGCTCCTTCAGAATCTACATAAAATATTCACCTAAGAGTGTAAACTTGTAAACTAGGTCAGTCATTTTACACATTCTGAATTGTGTTTAGTGTTTAATCTTCATTCTCTGACACAGAGAAATGAATTATGCAACCCCAATGAGTACATCAAACACAAATAAACAAACAGAAAACCTTCAAAGCAGTGCCGCACTCCTGGAGTTTCTGTCCAAACTTAGCATCAGATTTTTGAAATAACATTAAAAAATTTTTGGAGAGAAGATAAACAGAATCTAATACTTCTTAACAGTTTCCATTCCCCTTTTTACTATTGCACTTAAGACAAATACAAAAATAAATGCATTTCCCCTTCAGGA